ATAGCAACTTTGTATTTTGGAAACTTCCCTTTAATGTTAAGAATATGATGCTGCCATCATTCTTCAAACAGTGATTGGCAACTCAGTTCATGCTACGGATAAAAGAAAAAGAATGACTCAAAAAAATCCAGACTGTTGTTTTTAGGTGAAATTATTCTTTCTCCAGAAAATCAAAATGAACCTCAAACTACTGGACAAGACACACATGTTGGAAACAACATAAAATTAATTATATGCTACAAGCCATTACTAGCCAACAAAAATGTAACAAGGGGAAAGGACACTATTTGAACAGAGGCTATTTGCATCTGATAATAAATTTATAAGAACAATGGAAGGCCATTATTGGAGAAATAACCATGTATTTAAAGGATACAAAAGGGAAGCTGAGATAATGAAGGATAAACTAGATATACAATATTCATGGGCAGAACTTTGTATTTTTTTTTAAATATAGAGTCTTGTGTAGCTTAGACTGACTTTGAACTTGTTATGTAACTGAAGATGATCTTGAACTGCTGACCTTCTGATCTCCTTGTGTCTACCTCCAGAGTTCTGGGGTTGTAAGTAAGAGTGTGTTTTACCATACCTTGTTTTATGCAGCGTTGGGAGATGGAGCTTAGGGATTCATGCTAGGCAATGTCTCTACCAACTGAGCTAGATGCCCAGTCTAAAGGATGAAATTTTGTGAAGATGTCTGTAGCCCCACAAATAAATAAAAACAAATTTAATGTAATTATAAAACAACAGAACAGTTTTTAAGATGAATCGGATGAGTATCTCAGTTACTTTTCTGTGAAGAGACACGATGAACAAGGGAACATTAAAGAAAGCATTTAATTAGGGCTTGCTTAAAGTTTCAGAAGGAGGGTCCATGAAGTGGCGCGGGAAGGCAGACATGGTACAGCATTGGGACAGTAGCTGTGAGCATACATGCTGAGACAATAGCCAGGAGAGGAGGGGGGAAGGGGAAAGGGAGGGAGGGAGGGAGGGAGAGAGGGAGAGATGGGGAGAGAGAATGAGGCTTTTGAAACCTTAAAGTCCATGCCCAGTGAAACACTTCCTCTAACAACAGGGTGGTACCTCCTCATCCTTCTCAAAAGTTCCACCAACCAGGAGCAAGCATTCAAACACATGAGCCCATGATCATCCATTTTCATTTAAACTACATCAGTAAGCCAATCATAAAATGAGTATAGAATAAATGGCCACGAAGAGCCAAGACAACACGAGAAAGAAGGGCTCTTTGTCCTTTCAGGTAGGAATGTAGTAGGAATGTAGCTTTTTTTTTTTTTCTAGATGCTTACCTTCTTGAAAGCTAATGATACGACGCAGGAATGTAGCTTTTACTACTCTTAGGTGACTTAATGTTTTCTGAGGTCATATCAGTAAGAGAAGGAGAATAATGCAAATGATGGAGTCTAGAAACAAATGTAAATGTTTAGAAACTTGGTGTGTGGTAGAGCAAGACTGTAATTTACTGGGTGAGATGAAGAGTAATTCAATTCGTAGTGTTGAAGCAATTAGGCCCATCACTTAGAAAAAAAAATCAGATGTTTATACCTCACATCACACAGATCATAAAAGTAAATTGCAGGTGGATTTAAGATACATATATGGATAGCAAAACTTTAATTACTCTTTATGCACTTTCAAATATATGGTATCTTTATGACTTTAGGATTATAAAAGATTTCTCAGAGATCAACAGCACAAATTAAGTGAAATGATAAGATTGATTTCATAATAATAAACACTTTTATGAGAAAGAACCACATAATATTAAAAGACAAAAATATTTGTGATATATGAAACAAAGGTGTATTATTAAAGGTATATAAAACTAACAAATTTAAAGATGTATATAATCTAATAAAAATATAAATTATATACATAGACTGGTTACAAAGAAAATTGAATTAAATACTTTCTAGTCTTAGAGAAATGTAGAGTTATAATGATGTATTGTTAGAGCTATCAGATTAGGTGTGCAAGCCCTGTGTGTGTGTGTGTGTGTGTGTGTGTGTGTGTGTGTGTGTGTGTGTGTGTAGAGAGAGAGAGAGAGAAAGAGAGAGAGGTAACACTCTGGGGAGTACACAACTACTTGGAAATCATGCAGTTATGTAACATGTTTTACAACTGTGCATAAAATCCAAGTCAGCAATTAAACATTTTATTTTATGTTTCAGAAAGTCTTTCCTAATTTCTGTCTGAAAAATGATACAAGAAATTGTCTGCTGTGTTAGTTAGGATTCACAGTGCTGTGATAAAACACCATGACCAAAGGCACTTGGGAAGGAAAGGATTTATTTCAGGTTATAGTTGGACATCGTAGTCCATCATGGAACGAAGTTAGGGCAAGAACTCCAGGCAGGACCTGGAGACATACACTGAAGTTGGTGTCAAGGAGCAGTGTTGTTTACTGGTTTGATTCCCATGACTTGTTCGATCTGTTTCTCATAACACTGAGGGCCACCTGACCAGGGATGGTCAGTGAACAGGAGGGCATCCCACATCAATCATCAATCAAGAAAATGTCCCACAGACTTGCCCACAGGTCAATCCAATGGAGGCATCTTCTCAATTAATATTCCTTCTTCTTAGATGACCATATCTTGTGTTGAGCTGACATGAAAACTAGCCAGCACAATTGCCATTTAATATATAATTTATATATTAAAATTAATTTAAAACTGAGGACACAGAAACCTGATGAGTGTCTTTGGTGATCAATAAGAAATTAGTTATCAGGAGAAATGATTCTGTGTTTAAGAGCCTCAAGATCCAGGTTCAGCTTCCAACACTCACATGGTGGCTCACAACCATCCTTAATTCTAGTTCCAAAGTGTCTGATGTCTCTTCTGGCCTCCATGAGCACCAGGCACACACATGGTTTCACTCACCTGGAACAGTTTGCTTCCTGTTGAAAAGGGGCCCTTGGCTGCTTTAATGAATGCCCTTACTCTCTGCCATCATTTTGTCTGAACATCTACCCATTATATTTTGATGCAAGGTTTAAGATGGACTTACAGATCCTCAGAATAATAGACTGTACATAATGATAACAAAGGTAGGTAAGACTGAAGGGTTTGCTCATACCCCAGAGAAATGCCACTCATCTCTAACCCTTAGCATTAACTCTTGGCCACACTTGGTGGCCATCCGGAAACATCATGTTTTAAATCATCTATATCAATCCTTCACTACAATTATGTTCTTAGTATATTTAAGAATTATTGTTTTTCCTTGTCCCTCTTTGGTATCCCTTAAAGGTCATACCTATGAACAAAATGTTGCTTTTGGAAAACATTTGATAGCAGAAGTCACTTATTAAAAGCTGTGAATACATGTAGGGCAACTTCCCATACAGATTTTTCCCTTGCTGTTTCCCTCTCAGCTGGAAATGGGTTCCATCTGAAGGAATACCAGTCTGTGGGCGCTAGCTAGGGCTGGAGCTTTTTTTCTGTGATGTTCAGTACAAGTTGGTTTACAGAGTGCACAGAAGAATATTCACCACTTAAACAATGATTCTGAAAAACAAGGGTTAATAGTGCACTAGGTAACTACCCAGCATTTTTGTGCTGACCCATTGGCACACAGGAAAAAGAAACAGAATCGTGTGCACTCATGGGTCTGTGGCTTCGGGGATTTACACAAGATGTGGCACACATTTCATACAGAAATGTTGCTCGAGTATAAGCAAACTTCCCTCCCTTTCTGTCTGGAGCTCTTGAGATTGCCTGATCTCTGCCTGGAAGACTACAAGAGGTCCAGCTAAACGAAAATCATTTATAAGAAGAGTAGGGCCAGGAACAACAGCAGTGAGATTCTGGGAGAAAGCCCCAAATGTGGATTTGAGTGTTGTCTTGAGTGTGGGGATAGGAAGGGATCTATCTGGTTATGTACTCAGGAGAGACAGAGGGATGGAGGCTGGCCTTGCCAGTCCCTTATCTAGCTCCTATAATTTGCTTCTAAGAACACTTGGACTTTAAGATTTATACTTCTTACTTTTCTAAGACAATTTTGGCTTGTTATTGAGATGAACCATGTTACTAAGAATATGCACATCTATGTATCTATAATTCTATGCTTATAACAATTTTATATTGGGAGAATATAATCTATCTGCAATTGCTAGCTTATACCTGGAATTTATGTATGCCTTGAGTGAGTTCCTGTATAGATGCAAGTGAGTGAGTATACATGCTTGTTAGTAAATTAGCATATTGCATTCTGGGTAGTTAAGTCAGGCTGCTCTTGTTTTATGCTAAAATTTGATCATGTAAATTTGCATAGGAAGTGCCTTGTGGTCCATGGCCATTCCATCCTGAGTACATCTCATCTTCTTTGACCTCAAAAACTGAACTGTTGAGGGAGGAAAAAGACCTTAGGGATTTTTGTTTTTTTATATTGAGACAGGTTCTTGCTCTGCAGACAAGCCTGGCCTTGAACTCCTGCCTCTGCCTGCTGAGTATTGGGATTCTTTTGTTTCAACATCCTGGGCTTTTAAGTTCCAATTTCTTTCTATTCATGGCTCCCAAAAATAGTTTTAGTAGATGGGTAAAAAGACCAATTTTCACAAAACCAAAGGTTATCTTTTTTGGGGAAAATTATCAACTAGTAGTAATTGAATGAAATTCCTTTCATGAAATCAGATATCAGCACCAACAATTACGAGACAGCAAATGACTTATTTTGCCAAGAATAAAATACATGGTTGTTAAACATTGCCATATGTTGTACAATAAGTTTCTACCAAGGTGTGGTATGCAGGGTACAATGAACATAGTAAAGAGAAGTGGTTTGAGTGAGTTGGGGGATGCGATGGAGGAGGAATAATCTCCGGCCCCAGAATCGGGGAGACACCGCAGGGGGCGGGGACAGGAAGAGGCATCTAGCCGTAGGGGGTGTGAAAGTCATGGTATCTCAGTGAGCGAGCCCTTATCTGAGCCCTATCAAGAGCTTTAAAGCACTGAATTGTTTTCAGTAAACATTACACAGATGCCTGCTCCCAGGCCAAAGGGGAAGTGGGTTTCTGCTCAAGGTCTGGTGTCCCCACAAGGAAGGATCAAACAGTAATTCATGACATGAATGATGAAGAGAAGGTAGTGTTTTGCCTGTCCTAGAGCAAGTGTCTACTAGCCAGAAGCCACAACTGGGCACAGCCATACTAAGAGGAGGTACAGCGGGTGTGCAGATGAGCAGGATCCAAGGTAAGGATGCCCTAGAATTAGTTTTGATCCCCTCCCCCACAACTTTGGTAACCTAGGCTAGAGTGTTCATTCATTTTTTTAACATGTGGGTTATTGTCATCCAGACAGGGCTTTGATGCGGGAAAAGGTGTGATCCCTGAGCTGGAAACATTAGTGCGAGGAAGAGAAATAGAAGACACATGCTTTAAACAGACAACTGACAAAGGGAGTTTTACAGCTCGCCAGGAAACTGCTCAGATACTCTGATAAATATTCAACCCTGGGGATGGTACGTAGAGACTCCTGTGAAGTGCAATGGATTTTCTGTTATTCATGTTTAAACATGAAAGGTTAATCACAGTCGGCTAGGAGCGACTGACATTAAACACAGATTTATATAACAGCACGTCTCTCAAACTGAGCTTTCATCGTGGGAATTTTAGAGCTTGTTTATATTGTCTCATATAACACACACACAAATCTTACGGAACAGATTTTGTTATCTATGCTTTACAGAGAAGGAAAACAAGGCACACAGAAGCAAGAGGCAGCTTGAGAAAGGGCTCCTTTAACCAGTTGTTTTGCAGAGCCCAAGATGGAATTGAGCCCTGAAAAACAACCCCGTACTGCCACCTACTGGTCAGAAGTGGTACAGTGCAATAAAGGAGGTGCCTAGTGAAGGTGAATTAGCAGTCCATGGCTCCCTGGAAGAGGTTGAATTGGAATAGAAATGATGATTGTTCTGGGCGAGCAAAGGAAACAGCTGTGCCAATATACAAAGACTACAGTTTTTGAGCTATTCGAGGAGAGGTAACAAATGGGCTCTTTTGGGATATTGAGAAGGAGTCACATTATTGGAGACCTTGGAGGAGCTGGTAAGGGGGCTTGGACTGTGTGCTGGGCTCATGGGAAATCATTGAAGAGGTTTGATCATGTAAAGAGACTTAAATTTTACATAAATTCCCTGGTGGCTGCCAGGAAAATGGACATGGGGCAAGTTATCCCCGGGAAAAGCAGGTGAAGGGCAAAGACTTGTAAGATGTCTGGGGATCCCCTCACTCTGCAAAACAGCTTTTTCACAGTTGTTAGCCCAGTCTGAGACACCTCTATACACCCCTAACTCCCACTGTGTTCTTTGGGGGAATCAACCAGTGCCCCTTAGTTGGTAGTACCAGATTGACTGTCAAGAATGAATCCCCCCCCCTCAAAAAAGCTGGGTGTTGGTGGCACACGCCTTTAATCCCAGCACTCGAGAGGCAGAGGCAGGCAGATTTCTGTGAGTTCCAGGCTAGTCTGGTCTACAGAGCAAGTGTCAGGACAGGCTTCAATGCTACACAGAGAAACCCTGTCTCAATAAACCAAGAAGAAGAAGAAGAAGAAGAAGAAGAAGGAGAAGAAGAAGAAGAAGGAGAAGAAGAAGAAGAAGAAGGAATTACTCTAAAGAAATATATATTTAATATATACATACATATATATTATATATTTAAGAGGGGCTGTTGGACAGACAAAGCTGCTTGCTATTCACACACCCCAGCCACAAAACCCTGATATCTTCTAGCACATTCCTTTTTGCCTCGGGACAAAACAAAATCTTGGTAAAAGCATTTTCAACGCTGATTCTAGTTTTGGTTGGAAAAACCACAGTGCCAGTTGAGATGTCTGAAACCCCGAGAAATAATTATCTCTAATGACTTATATTATACTTTTTTCTTGGGTGTTAATTTTTTTTGAAATGAGGTACAAACTCAGGCAGCGTGGACAAAGCATGTCACCTCACATTTTCTTGAAATAGGTGCTGTGGTTTTACAATGCTACTTGAATCAGTTTCTCCATTGGTTTTGAAACATGACATCATTTAACAAAACTGGAAGTAGTTTGGTAGCTTCTGAAATACTTGTAATAGCAAGAAGAGCTGGTTGGCCTGGGATGAAGTATCATTCCTTAATGTCTAGAAGTACCAATATCTCTCCACTTTTCATAGATCTTCTAGCTACAAGATGATATTTCTCATCTTCAGATCTTCAGATAGAGTGGAGGAACTTTGTAAGCATTACATGATGAAGATACCAAGAGGTATGGTATCTCCCTGCATGCCCTTTACCTTCTGAAATGCTACTACTTTGCTCTTCACAATTAAGGATAGGGGAATGTGTTGAGAGCTCCTGATGCTGAGCAATGCTCAGGGAGCTTTTGATATACGTCCTGTCTTCCAAGGCTAATGTTGATGGCCAGGCTCTGATGCCAGGGTCCCAAAGCAGAAATTAGAAGTAGGAATCTGGTCAGGCACCAGCCTCCCAGCATGTCCAACCTGTGGTCTATGGGCTGTAGTTGGCCAAGGATAGCTGAATGTGATCTAGTACCAAATCATAAACATATATAAAACATTATGAGATTTGTCTTTTGTGATTTTTTTGTAACTAGATTGTGTTTCTTTTTTCTTTAACTTTTTACAAGTTACTCTCAGTTCCCTCTCCCCACCTCCTCCCCTGATCCCCCAATCTTCCCAACTCCCCACCCCACTCCATTCCCCCCTCCACTCCCCAGGGAGGGTAAGGGCTTCCACGAGGGATTTTCAAGTCTGTTATATCATCGCTGGCAGGGCCTAGGTCCTCCCTCATGTGTTCAGGCTGGCAGAGCATCCCTCCATGTAGAATGGCCTCCCAGAGTCTATTTGTATGCCAGGAATAAATACTGCTCTACTCTCCAAGGTTCCATAGATTGCCAAGACCTCTTCTCTGACACCCAGGTTCAGGGGGCAAGGGGTGTCTGGATCAGTCCCTTGCTGGCCTCTCAGTCATCAGTCTGGGGTCCATGCGTTCCCCCTTGTTTAGGTCAGCTGCCTCTGTGGGTTTTGCCAGCCTGGTCTTGATTCCTTTGCTCATCACTCCTCTTTGCAACTGGGTTCCAGGGGTTCAGTTCGTTTTTTTAACTGTGGGTGTCTGCCTCTGCTTCTGTCATCCACGGGATGAGGGTTCTAGGATGGCATATAAGGTAGTCATCAATCTCATTATCATGGGAGGGCATTTAAGGTAGCCGTAATGCCAGTTGGTGTCATTCTTGTAGGTCTGTGAAGATCTCACTAGTGCCAAATCTCTCCTCCAACTTATAATGGCTTCCTGGATGAGACATTTTGTGTTTCTTAAGAGTAAACTTTGCCAATGGCAATGTAAAAAACTTGGACTTGCCTGTAAGTTCTACACCTTTGGATAGTTGGAATATATAGTCCCACCCCAGGGACAATCTGGCACCAGACTTTCCAAAGAAAAGCCTAGAAGCATAAGATGCAGAATAGTGTAACTCTGTAACTGTCCCTGCTTTAGTCTATTTGCCCAGCTACAACACAATATGGGCTAGCTAGCTTACAAACCATAGATGTTTATTCTCACAGTTATGAAGACTGAATAGTTGAAGATCAAGGTATTGGCAGATCTAGTGCCTGGGAGTCTCATTTCACTTGGACAAAGACTTTTGACTAAATCCTGGTATGGCAGAAAGGACGAGCTCTCATGGACTCTGTGATGGGGGCACTAATTATACTTACAGAGGATACAACCTCTCACCCTACAAAGGTTCACCTCCTACTTATAGCTCATTGGCAATTAGATCTCAACAGATGAGTTCTGGGGACCACCTGGGCCGTGGTCTTCCTTTCCTGATGAGTTCATGAGAAAATCCATATTACTAACCTATTGATGTTTTCAATGTAAAATAGCATGTTGGCAGGAGGGTACAAAGACCCTGCTAACATGAGGAATATGTTCAAGAGATCTATTGAACATCTTGGTGACTACAGTTGGTGGGATGTGGTAATTCACATCTAGAGTCTCAGACCTGGGAAGCTGAGGCAGGGGGCTCATGATATTGATCTAGCCTGGGCTACACCTGGACAGACTGAGACCATGTTGTTTTTGTTTGTTTGTTTATTTGTCTTTTTAGAACCAAATTAACATCCCTGAACTCCCAACCTATGCCAAAACAAAGCCTTATATACTGTATATTTGAAAGTACCAGAGACTGTTCCTATCAGAAAATGATAAAATAAAAGGTAACTACTAAGGTAATGTATATAGTTTGACAGCTTGATTTAGCCATTTTACAATGTATGTGTATATCAGAACATACTGAGAACATACACAAGGTTTACTTAACTAGAAAGAGGATAATTGAAATGATAAATGAAGAGTATAAGAAATTGTTTGGAAGTGTATCAACAATACACTAACATTACAGTCTAACTTCATTTATTCATTCTGAAGTCCTTCAGGCCCTGGATGCATGCCTAGGGTCTCTGGTGAGGCAGTGTGAGAAAGGTGTTGTGGAGTACTATGCCAGCAGACGGAGAGTAAGTGCTCAGGGGACAAACTAGAGGTCGGGGGCTTTCCTCCACCACACTTCCAGCCCCATAACTACTTTGATAGCATCTACAAGACAAAACAAATTCATCCCATCTACCACCTCCGCTCATCTCCTCTCGACAGTATATGAAGAAGCACAAATGACCCATGTCTGCTCTCGCGTGATACCATAAGCCAGAGGTCCCGCGCTGGTCTCATGGGACTGAAGTCCTGTCACAGCAGGACTGAACCCTCTTGTAGGCAGCATCTGCCTTCTTGCCTCTTCTATCACCTGGAGGTTTTGCCTGTCTTTGACTCAGAACCTCCCAACCTTGGCTTACATGATCACCTCTGCCTTTTCTTCTTCAATAGGTAGGCTTCCAGCTGCCTCCCCCTATAAGGACACACGTGATGGAATTTTAGGGTCCGCCCTGACACACCAAGATCTGCAATCAGACCTGCAATGCCCTTTTTGTCAAGCCAAGATAACCCTTAATTGGATCTTCGAAGTCCTTTTTGTCAGGTAAGGTGGCATTCATGAGCCTCAGGGATTAGGACCTAAGCATCTTCAGTATGCTTTATTTCCCAGCCTTTAACACAGGTCATACTGATGACTCAGAGGTTCATGTTTAGTCAGGGGAAATGCTTACAAGGGCAGAGCCTATTTGCAAACTATGAGACTGACATAACCGTTCTAAAAGCCAAGATTAAGTGCTTTGAAGTGTTATCTTCTCAAAGCAAAGGCTCCTTTGAAAATCCTTGAAGTGATCAACCTGTTAGCAAATGAAGCATTTTTTATTAGACAAAGCTCATTTTCATATCATCATCTTATTACCTCATTTATCTCTTCATATCATTCTAATTCTCTTTGCTTGTTCCTACAGTTAACACAGCCATGATGCTATCTGCTAATTCCACCTGGCTCTAGGTTATGGGTATTTTCCTCAGAGCATCTTCATTTCTGGAATTCTTTAACTGCTCTCAGATCTACCCATCTGTGTGTTGTTCTTTAGTTATTTTGCCCAGCTGAATGCCCAGTGCAGGCCAGGTGAGTTTTTAAGTGGTTAAGTTTGAATTTCTTTTGTATGAACCTGAAAAATAGGAGAAATAGATTAACCAGTTGATTTACATGGGACCAGGCACTTGGGTTTGGTTGCTCATGATGTACTGAAAGAGTTGGCCAGGTCCAAGCCCCTTTCTTCTGTTCCATCAGCTGTAAATTATAAGTTAAGTCTGTATAAGTTTAGGGGTCATTACTGAGTCCTCCTCTAGGCCCTATCTCTCTTGACATCTTCTGAGAAATAACAGACACTCATCATGTTGAATAAAGAATAAAGATCAGAAGATGAAGGGGGTGGGGAGAGAGGGGAGGAAGACCACATTTGGAATCGGAGGAGTCGCATTTACTTGCTCCTTGGCCCATGCCACTAGGTTGCGTGGAGTGAATGAGGTTCACACTTTTCAGTTGCCTATTCAAGTCCCATAGGCACACTTTGTCAAGAGACCACTGAACCTCTGTTCACTTCCCTAGCCATGTGTGTTTATCTGGGCATAGCCCTGCTTCCTAGGATCTAATGCCAACAAGATAGTAGATGGGACACATTACGCCTGCTGTGTTTCTTCTCACATGTTTGATAGTGTCTTGTGTGCCTCTCCCTGGAGCGTACAAATATGTTCATCCATCTCCCCAATGCTTTCGTCAAAGCCAGACTTTGGTTGCTTTTCAAATACAAAACACCTTAGAGTTCTCTGTCTCTGCCTGCCCTTGCTCCTGGTGACTTTTCCCACTTAGAACATTTTGCTTACAAAATCAGTTGCTTCTCTGAAGGTATTTCTGGTCCCGGGTGTTAAACTAATGACATGTTTGTTCTCTATATAATTAATTATCTCCTAGTATTAAAGGACGGAGGAGGCTAATGAAGACAGAGGATCTTGGGCTGTGGGATAAAATCCTCCTTGTTGAAAGCATAGCTTTTCTCTGTCCATACCATTATGTTTAAGTAGTTACTTTCCAAGAACAGGTATCTATTACCTCCGGGTTTTCCTTCGAGACTCTTCTTTTGATTGTGAATGTCTGTTTTTTTTATAAGTGATGAATAATTTTATACCTTTCCCATATTCTGACATTTTATGTTTTGATCTAAAGTAAACCAGCAGTAAGGAGTTTGTGGGGTATATGAATGATGAGCTCTAGGATTAGAGGTCCCAGATTGAGAGTCTGGTCCCCTGCTCTCCTAGGGAACTAAAGGTGTTGATTCCATCTGACTCCGGTTTCGGAAACAGCAGTGGTTGTGTTCATTGACCTCAATAGTCTCTAGAGCAGTGGTTCTCAACCTTCCTAATGCTGTGACCCTTTAATTCAGTTCCTCATACTGGGGTGATCCTCAACTATGGAATCATTTCATTGCTACTTTGTAACTGTAATTTTGCTACTCCTATGAATCTTAATGTAAATATCTTATATGCAGGATATCTGATGTGCAACGCCCAGAGGGTCTCTACAGGTTGAGAATCACTGATCCAGGGAACTATCGCTGAGCTTGCATGAAGTAGGTCACTTTTCTTAGATTTATTTTTTCCATATTTAAATGTCCTTCGACTGCAGATCTAGGTAAAAGAGAGACAAAGATTGTAGGAGAGGAAATGAAGCTAGCATTTTCCATTTTTTTTAATTTAAAAGGCATCCAAGACCTGGGAAATGTGAAAGAGTTTCCATTAATTGTGAAAAATTGCTGGTCTCTTGTCTGTGCTTCCCATTGACTTACGATCTTCCATGTCTGACCCACTGCAATTTTAGGAGTTGTCTGTGTTCTCAACCTCTGAATGATCTGGTAAAAGAGTGTGAATGTCATCTATGACCATTTCTTGAACGAGGAGACTTTTAGGGATATTCAAGAACTATGCTCTGACTAAGCCATTTCCTTCTTAGAGATGACTGGAGTTCTGTGCGCATGGCAGGAAGAAGGTAATGATGTGACTTTCCACAGAGGAGCTGAGTTTCCAGGAGAAAGAAAAGAGGAATAACGAGAAAGGAAGAGAAGATTCTCCTCAGCCTGGTGATGGAGAGCCAATGCCCTCCTGCCCCAGGGAAGCTACACATGTAGGAACTTCCCAGTAGACTTTGATTTTTAAAAAAATGTGCATTGATGTTTTACCACGGGTGTTGGGTCCCCTGGAACTGGAGTTATAGACAGCTATAAACTGTCATGTGGGTACTGGGAATTGAACCTGAGTCCTCTGGAAGAGCAGTCAGTGCCCTTAACTGCTGAGCCATCTCTCCAGCCCCCGGCTTTGAATTTTTAAAATTACATTTCATTTACTTATTGTGTACGTGCATATGTGTTTGCGTGTGGGGTGATTGTGTGCTATGGCGCATGTGTGGAAGCCAGAGAACAACCTGTAGGATTCCTTCTCTCCCTCTACAGTGAGGGATCCAGGCATTAAACTCAGATCTTCATGCCTGGCAGCAAGGGCTGTCACCTGCTGAGCCATCTGGCCAGCCCAGTAGACCATTTGTGTAAACAACTGAATTAAGATCAAATTCCCATGCTCCTTGGAGTGTACCATTCTGCCGCTGCCTCCAGTTCCTGCAGCTACTGCTGTACTGACTATCTGTGGACGTGCCTGCTAAGGACATTGTGCGTTAAACAGACAGCTCTGTTGTGTTACCTGCTGTGTCTGGTTTTCCCCACTTAACTTCATTTTTTGAGGATCTTCACCTATGTTGCAGCACACATGAGTACTTCCATGTTTTGCTGATCTGCAGATCCTGGTGTGGCCAGGACATCATTTTATTTTTAATGACTGACGATGGGAAGCAGAAGAACAAGCCAGCAGAACCATTGTGAAAATGCTGCCTGTGTTTTGAGTGCAGCAGAAGTGAAGGTCTTTCCGCCTTTTTGGAAAGACTGCATGGTCATAGAATGCAGAGTGATGCAAAGCAAGAATCACATTTTTATGTTTTTTTTCTTTGTGTGTGTTACATGATTTTCCCTGCATGGCCAGGATCCCTCGACCCCTTGGGAAATCACAGCCTTGCTTCAGTAGGAAGTGAGTTTTCGGTTGTGAAGGCAGAGAGAGGATGTAAGAAACATAGTCTCACTGTTTCTTATGATTGTTTCTTTTTTTAAAAAAACTTTTTTATTACTTTAATTTTAAATAGCTTGCTTCACATGTCAATCCCAGTTCCCTCTCCCTCCCCTTCTCCCGCACCTCCCACCATCCCTTCCAGTCTCCCACCCTATCCCCATTTCCTTCCACATAGGAGATATCCAGAGTCTGTCATTTCACTCAGAGCAGGGTCCAGGCACTCCCCCTAAGAGTCCAGGCTGAGAGAGCATCCCTCTTTGTGTTATGGACACATGAAGTCCATTTATACACCAGGGATAAACAGTGATCTACTGCCCAGGGCCCCATAGGTTGCCCAGGCTTCCTCACTGACTCTCACACTCGGGGCTCTGGATCAGTCCCATGCTGGCCTCCCAGCTGTCGGTCTGGGGTCCAAGATCTCCCCCTTGTTCAGATCAGCTGTCTCTGCTGTTTTTGCCAGCCCATTCTTTGCTCATCGCTCCCCTCTCTCTGTCACTGGGTTCCATAGGTTCAGTTCAGTGTTTAACTGTGGGTGTTTGCCTCTGCTTCCATCAGTCACTGGATGAAGGTTCTAGGATGGCATATAGGGTAGACATCAAGTTCATTATCAGGAATGGACTTTCAAGGTGGTCTCTCCACTATTGCTTAGCTTGCCAGTTGGTGTCATCCCTTTAGATCACTAGAGGTCTCACTGGTGCCAGATCTCTCTTCTAACCTATGGCTCCCTCTATTATGGTATTTCTCATGCTGTTCTCCCCCTATCCTACCCCCCCCACTCAACCTTCCTGTTCCCCCATGACCTACTCTCTCTTCCTCTCCCCCCCCCCTTGTTCACAGCTCCCACTCCCCCCAACCTCTCACCGTGTTCCCAATCTGTTCAGAAGATCTTGCCTCATTCCTCTTCTCTGGGGTACCATGCATATCTCTCTTAGGTTCTTGATCAGGATAGTGCCAGTCTACATTTCCACTGACAGAGAGTTAGCTGATTGTTTCTTGTTTTAGAAGATGGGGGTTGATGTCTGTTGAGGAACAGAAAAACAGCCCTATAGGTAAATGCACACGAGAAATGTATCATATTCCACTTTGAGAAACAGCAAATAGAAATGCCTCTGAAAACATACTGGCAAAGTTATCTGGTGAAACTGAATTAACCAAGGCCATCCAATATTATCTCAAGTGATAATGGGCCATAGGTAAGTGGAGAAATTGCTGGAACACTGCTGCCTTGCCCAACCCAAGCATTTGTTTCTGTTGTGATTTCTGAGTTCCTGTTCTCATTTTACTCTTAACATGTTAACCCAGGAACAAGCATCAGGAACAAGCATCCTGGCTGTTCCCTGGTAGATCACCTCTCCATTGTATACTCACATTATTATTATACATTATATATTACATATATGTATAATATTAAGTATTATAGGGTTCCCCTATTTCTTTCATTTAAAATGCTCTAGTACTATGTTCCTTTGCCTGTATGGTTCACTGCCGAATAGTACAACTCCTAAATGTACTGGTCTCAAAGGGGCGATGTGTGAGATAGAACAGAGCCTTATATGGTTGTCTTGAGCCTGGAGGATACAAAATGCTGTTGAAATTACATCGTAGCAGCATCAGTGTGTTCATCCTCCTCCTAAGTTCAGTTTTATACTATGTTGTTGCTGAAGGGGCATGAGTTCTAGAGCCAGGCAGACTTAGGTTTTCTCTTAGCTCTAGGACGTTTTGTTATCTAGGCCTGGAGTCCATCTCTCAGTAAAATGGGGGATAATATACAAATTCTCCAGTTATGGAGAATGATTTAGAACAGGGTCAGACAATTTCATTTAAACAAGCATCCTGAGACTGTATGAACAGTTTCCAAATACTTCTGAGAAACAGGAGACTAAACTGTGGGTACAAAATCCCCGAGCCTGGAAGCTTTATGTTTCCTGAGTTAATATTTGAAAACCACTTAGGCCAAGGTTTGCTAAAAAAGGAATGTAAGCAGTGTGTGGTTGCTGGAAAAGGAAGTTCCTCCTTTTTTTATTCCTTCTAGAAATTAAGAACTTATGAGCCATTGGATGAGGCGTCAAAGCCAAGAAGCCACAATGAATTCTTTACATGAGGTTGCTGGTCATGCTACAAGTGGGGCCAGTACTCACTTAGGTTGGGCTTCTCCATGGAACACAGCGCAAAAACAAGCAAATGAACAAAAAAAATCAAACAAATCCCCAAACAAACTAGAATGCTTAACAGCAAGAAAGAGTGTATTACTATGTGAATAGACAGGTGGGATTTCTCTGTATTTCAGAAGATGCTATCTTACAGGATGTTCTGATTCTCAAAGTAAATGGTGATTCTAATGTATGTCCACTTGGAGTTGCTCCTGTGTCAAGTGCTACCCTGAGACCCTCGGCTTGTGACACAAGAATGACTGCCTTGCCCTTCACCCACCAGACTTCATTGCTGTCATCTCAAACTTTTTTGTTTTTAAATCTTGCCTCCTTTTGCTTGTTTCATCTCTAGATCCATATAACACAGTGAAGTGAACCTCCAACATCATAGAAGTGTGTGTTACCTGTAGCCACAGCTTGACAGTGACTGTGTGGTACCCTCTGAAGCGTGAGGCAGTTTCTGCAATCAGTGTCTCCTGAAGGAGGTGCCGTTGTGAGGTGTGGGTTTGTTAGAGTTTACAGGACCTTCAAGGTGGGTGAGTTCCTGGTTTTGGAGGCTATGAGATTTCTAACCAGCAAGAGTTTCTACACAGGTTTGATACTTAGCCAGGGTCTCAGATGCTTCTAAGCCTGGACACAGTTACTGGCAAACAGTCTTACTGTGAGGCCAGTGGTGATCTTAGGTGTTATGCTGGTTGCACATGACTCCAAACTTGGTCATTACTGGCTTTTTGTCTTTTATAGAAACGAATGTATTTTCAGTCCAGATGCTATACAATCAAGCCTGCACATCTGTATTATCTACTTTAGGATTAGGGGTTGGAAAATTGAATCCATGAATATGCCCACATGCTTCTGTTTCCAGGGCTAGAAGAGTTGCTGTGGATAATTAGAAAATTGTCAGTTCACATAACAAAAATGTGCATGTGTGCCTAAGAGTCATTGATAAAGAAGAGTTTGGAGATAAAAGTTCTCTTGACTGCATTGAAGTAATTTTAACACTTAGGTAAGATTCTTAGTGTCTGTCTGGCTTTAGTGTTGAGTTATGGATGACTCAAATCCTTCACTGCATTAAAACCTGACAATGGATTCCGACACTTCACCACTCTCATCTCAAATCAGCATTATGTCTCATATTGAAGCCTGGAATCGATAGAGGAAATAGACATGGAGAATAAATTGGGTTCACATTCTTCACATTCCTCAATAGGTTTGGGTTTTCCTTTGGGGGATTTTTTTCTTAAAGAACTGATTGGCATTTGTCCCAGCTTTAGAAAAGTACTTGCTCAGTCAGGCCCAGAGGGGAAAGCTTAAGATAAGAGCCTGGGAACATTTATTACTTAGGTTTCCAAATGAGGGGTGCATGGGCCCAGTTGGGCACAGGCTTCCAAATGGGGAAAAGAGGGAAGTACCAGGACTGGAAATCCATAGCCCAAATAGCAGGAATTCTGTAATTCTATTATAGGAAGCAACGGAGAGTAATTCTGTGTACAACTGTGTGTTTCAGAAAAATGAGGAAATTAACAAGGAGAATAACCCTAGCTTTTTCTATTTCTTTCTTTTATTACTTTTTTTTAATTCAAAGAAAATCCAAGTATTTGAAGAAGTGTTTGAAAGAATTCTTCAGATCTTTGGAGTTTTATCTTCCTTAAAAGCTCTAATAAAAGCTATGGGCCAACTCTCAACGAAAATGGACATAAACCCCCACACACAACCTTTTAGTTACAACTGCAGGAGTGTGGGAACATTCTTGAAGCCTATCTCTAGGAGTTCCTAGGTACCCCCCAGAATATTAGGTTAATCCTTCAGTTTGTAAATACTGCAGCCAGCTTCCCTAAGTGATAAACAATTATGATACAAGGACACAAAGGGAGAGCAAAGCCCGTATGGAAGATTGAGTCGCCCCAAGTGATGCCATGGGCGGTTAGTAAAACTTGGGTAGCAACAGACAAAAGCAAGATTACAAGGCTAGATGGCTAGTAAAGCAGCCAAGAACCTTGGGTCCAGGAAGAAGTTAGGTCACCACTGTACTTGTAGTTCAGAAGCAGTCTGGTCATGTGGACTTGGTCTTTATTGCTACAGTGGGTAGTTTTGTCAACTTGATACAAAATACAGTCACCTGGTGTTTCAGTTAGGGTTTCTATTGTTTTGAGGAAAACACCATGACCAAAAAGCAAGTTGGGGGAGAAAGGGCTTATTTGGCTTAGACTTCCAGATCATAGTCTGTCATTGGAGGAAGTCAGGGCTGGAACTCAAGTAGGACTGGAACCTGGAAGCAGGAGATGATGCCTGGAGGGGAGCTGCTTACTGGCTTGCTTCCTTTGACTTGCTCAGCCTGCTTTCTTATAGAACCCAGGACCACCAGGCCAGGGACGGCCCCACCCACAATGGGATGGGTCCTCCTCCATTGATCACTAATTGAGAAAATGCCTTACAGATAGATCTCATGGAGGCCTTTCCTCAACTGAGCTCTTTCCTCTCTGATGACTCTAGCCTTTGTATGCCTGGGAAGAGGAAATCTCAACTGAGGGATTGCCTCCACCAGATTTCCCTGTTGGAATGTCCATGGGGGTATTTTCTCAATTAATAATGGATGTGCAAAAGCCAAGCTCACAGTGGCAGTGCTGCTTCTGGGCAGATGGTCCCGGGTGCTGTGGACTAATGTTTTTGTACACTCTGAAGATGTGCCACTGTGATTGGTTTAATAAAAGACCGAATAGCCAATAATAGCTAAGTAGAGTTTTGAGGGCAGAAAGGATGCAGGGAAGAAGAAGGCAGAGTCACCAGGAAATGGAGAGCAAGCAGGATGGACAATACAGAGATGAGGCTATAAAGCCATGAGGCAGAAAGTAAATTAGGAGAAATGGGTTAATTTATGTTATAAGAACTAGTTAGAAACAAGACTAAGCTATCAGCCAAACTTTCATAGTTAATAATAAGTCTCTGTGTCATTATTGGGGAGCTGACAGTCCCAATGAAAAACCCACCTGCACCTGGGTTCTATAAAATAGCAAGCCTGTGAACAGTCTCCCTCCATGGTTTCTGCTTCTGCTCCTGATTGAATTCCTACCCCAACTTTCCTCCATGATGGCCTGTGATTGAGATGTGTAAATTAATACATCTTTTTCTCCCAGGTTGCGTTTGGTTATTGTGTTTATCACAGCAATGGAAATCCAACTGGAATAAGCACTTATTGCTCAGATGCTCAGAGCCCAGTGATCCTCTTCTCACTCCCTGTAGACACATGGATGAGCAGAAAGTGCGATAGATCCAAGTGGACTGTGGATCTGGATGGATTCAGAACCAAGATCTGTCATTATTAGCTGGGAAACCTTAAACAAGTAGCTCAGTTCTCTAGTTTCTTTGTCTCTAAGAGAGGAATAGATATATGTACCCAAAGACTTAATGCAAATATAAATGAAATGTTACATAGAGAACTCGGAGTAGTCATGTTTATTTTGACATAGGACTCCAGTTCAACTCCAGCAGAGGTGACATCTTGAGAGCAAGTGGAAACTGATCCTATGCAAGGCCTAATGCGAAACTGAAAATATAGAAGGGGTATTAGGATCTGCCTATTTTTATTTTTAGAAAACTTTATTCATTTAATATTTTGCTATGCCTTGCTGTCTTCATCCTACTCTTATTAGACAGTTAGACTGTCTTTTGGTAGGTAATGAGTTAAGAGTTGGAGGAATTCTTCAGCTACTAGAACAGCAAGATTAGTTAACTGGGAAATTAGTGTTTTCTGGGGTGACCAATATCCCAGTAATTAGTGACAAGTTTACATAGGTCACTTAATCTTGCCAGGCTTCATTGTATTCACATAAGAGATGGTTTTCTTCTTGGATCTTAAGATTTTATGATTCCAAGACTCCACTAGAGCCTCTTTAAGACAGAGATGCTTATCTTTTCTAGTCTTTATTCACACACACTGAAAAAATATGTAAATTCAAAATACAAAAATTTAAATTTTTTACAAATAAAGTTCATTTTAATGTTGGCTTTCTGTTAGAAGCAGGTCATGGCTTTTCATTTTTCATAGTGCATTATGTAGGAAATCTTTCAAACTATGTCTTCATTTTTATTTTTTAAAATTGTACATATTCTTTGGTAATTTCATATGTGCATATAATGTACTACTCCCTTATTTTTGTTTTTTAAAATTGTACTTATTCTTTGGTAACTTCACGCGCACACACACACACACAGTACTACTTCCTTTATTTTTATTTTTTTTAATTGTATTTATTCTTTGGTAATTTCATATGTGTACACACTGTACTACCCCATTGTTTTTATTTTTTAACTGTATTTATTCTTCAGGAATTTCATATGTGCATACACTGTACTTAGATAATATGTTTCCCCTCTGCTTCTACTTCAACTCCCATCTCTTCTTGGACAATCCCTCTTCCATGTCTCTCCCTTCTAACCTTATCTCATGTCTTGTGTTTTTATCTATCATCCTTCTGTCTGTCTATCATCCATCCGTCTATCTATCTATCTATCTATCTATCTATCTATCTATCTATCTATCATCTGTCTTTTATACCCCACTAAATCCAATTAGTGTTGCCAGTGTGCATATGGGCATAAGGTCATCCACTTACTTCACTCAAGAAAACTGACTGCCCTTACCCTGGTGACCATTAACGTCCAATAGCTCTCAGCTAGGGGTGGCTCTAATGAGTCCCTTCCCTCTCCATGCTGACTTACTATTACCATTAATTTTTTCTTTTCTCTATATTTCAAATTCAGTTATGGCTGTCTAAAATCTCTCTATCTCATTCTCCCTATGACATTTCCCCAACTATGATTCTCCTATTTTGTTCTTAAGGTTTAGCTCCTGCAAAACGTTCTTGCTTAAGGGAAAAATATTCTTGCTTAAATCAAAACATCCCCCCTCCCAGTACTATCAGGAAAGAGGAAGGGGAGCATGAGGAGGGAGAAGCTGAGTGAGAACATGGAAGGGCAGGGTGGCAGTGCACATCAGGTACTCACTGTGCATGGATGTATGGTAATGTCCCAGTGAAACCCATAACATTACAATTAACATGCAGCATATATAGGAAGGTCTTGACAAAATTCTCTGTTAAAATTGAACACTGCCTGGTGAGGATACCTACCTTTGTTCCTTGAGTCCACAGGGAGACACCAGGGCTGCCCTTGGCAGGAACCATTTGAGTCTATAATGTTCAGAAGGCCTTTCATTCTGGCTTGGTCCTTTATGCTGTCCCTCTCTCCCAACCCCACCTCACTTACACAGTAATGTCATAGTGAAGTCTTCCTAAAGTCCATAAAGGGCCTTGCCCTGCTCCCCTTCACACCGCCCTGGCTCCTCCCTAGACCTGAGCTCTGTGTGGTCTGAACTGACCGTGTAGCTCTGGCCAGCTTTGCCTGTGCGGAGACTGGTTCAAGAGTTCCCAGAAGCAAAACATGATCCGGCTCCAGGAAAGAGCCAAGTTCCATGCACAAAACCAGAGTGAAGCCTCTGGAGAAATGGGCCTTCTGAGAGAGCTAATTGTGACACCATGAGTGCTGGAGCCCCCCCAATAAAGCACCTCTGGCACAAAGTGAAATAAAAGTTGAAAAATCACACATTAACATTTTCATATCTGAGTATTTGACCTAGTCTGTTAAGGTTTGAGTCTGAAACGTTTCTCACACACTTATTTATTTATTTAATGCTTGTCTCCTGCAGGAGGTGTTATGGGATACTGTGGGGACCTTTAGGAATGGCGCCTAGCTGGCAGGAATAGAGCCACTAGAGGTGGGCTTTTGAAGTTATGCCAGCTCCTGGTTAATGGAGGACTCTCTCTGCTCCATTGCCTGTTGGCAGTGGTCTGAACAACCTCTACTAGATGTCCCCATGAACTGAACTTTAGTGCCCCGCCCTCTATGTACTGTACTAAACCCTTAGAAACCACAGACAAAATAAATATTTCCTCTCGAAAGCTGTTTCTGTCGAAGTATTGTGATGACAGTGGTCCAGAAAAAATACATGGAGAATTTCTAATGGTTTATGTAACTGGTGGACATCTTAAAAATGAATTAGAAGCTGGTGAGATGACAGGTAAAGGTGCTTGCTGCCAATCCTGATGACCTGAGTTCAATCCCCAGGATCTGCATGGTAGAAATAGCTCCTACAAGTTGTAGCCTGATCCCACGTGTATGTTGTGGCATTCACTTAAATAAGTAAGTGTAGTATAATTTTTTTAATGGTGACATGCTTAAAAAGAAAACTAGTCCCCATTAGGAAAGATGGCCTGGTGTAATATGCCAATATCTTTTTCTTCCCCCAAGCTAACCAACCAACTACAACATTGGAGACAGTTCCTCATGTTGCTATCCTACATTCTTTGATTCTGTGAATGGGATGGAAAGTCACTTAGTGTATTAACACAGACGTTGAATTCTGAAACTTGAGACCAGACAGCAGAGGTTGGTGAGAGAAATGTGAGTTGGAGTTAAAGTGTGAAAAATAATCAGTGACTAACAGATACAGGGTGCGGGTAATCCAGTGTGTTTAGATCACTGTGTAGACATGTGAACCTCTGAGAAGCTTCTGTGAGGTGCTAAATAGACAAGGATGTGATGGTGCCAGTGACTACTTGCTGTGGAAAACAAAGGCCCTGTGCGAGTTCACAGTAAACACTCATCTTATTTTGTCTCTTTGTCTGGAAAAGCCAGCTGCAGACAGCATCTTGAGTGATAACGAAGATACAATGTCTAAGAAAGGCTACAAAGATACAACACCTAAGAAAGACAATGAGCTGGTGGCTCCAGGAATGGGGAAGACACTCTGGAGAGCTCCAGGGCTCAGTGGGAGATAAGGCCAGAGGTTTCTACACGGTCCTTAGGATAGCTGAGTTGCAGCTGAAGGCCCTATGTAGACCTTGAACAGGTGAGGCTTCTCTTGCTCACCCAGGGTTCCCAAGCATATGGATTCCTGGGGATCTCATCCACTCTAGGTGCCTTTGGACACCAGTGAATGACTGGAATGTCTGGCTCCAAGGGATGCTGAGGTATCTCAGGCAAAGGAGCAGACAGTTCACTTCTGCTCTTGGCTGTGTCCTTTGCCTGATGCTAATTTGCATTCAGGTTCCCAGGCATTGTCTTCCCACTAGCCTCATCTCCCCATCCTCCTTTTTGATCACACCCTGGTGAGTGGGTGGTTTGGCTATGCTGTGTGTGAGCATTATTTTGTGGATTGGGGAATCTGGTGGCTCAAGTACTATCATGCCAGGCGGCTGTTACTCACTCCCGGGACCCGGAAGACATTCAAGAGCTAAAACATTTGTTGGGACAAGATGTTGAAGAGTGACTTTGTACTCAGCAGAGTCAAGTCTCTTCTTGGTGTGCAGGAAACGATAACTAGGTCACCAGAAAGACAGGACTAAGATCAGCAAGAGTCAAAGTGAAGGAGGAAGGTGGTGGCATCCTTAGCCCCTCTGGCCAAATGGCACACGTGCTGGGGAAACTTTCGTAGGATGGTATCACGCAGAGTGTAGGAGGATTGCAAACTTTTTTGGAATGTCAAGCAAGAGGATGGGTGTGGATTTTATTCTATTCTATTCTATTTTATTTTTTTAAGCCACTTGATAAAAACAATGACTACAGGTGCCCACAGATATCTTATCACATTTAGGAGCTTCCAAGATGTTTTTGAAACAGTATCAAGTAAAAAGCATTTTCAATCAATTGTTTAATTAATTAGTTAGTTAATTAATATTCCACTCCTCCCATTTCCATATTGTGTATTTTCCTTCTCACTCAAGGAATGTTCTCACTTATGTCATGACAAGTTTTGAGATAACTGTGTGTGGGGGTGAACAAATCCATTTTATCTTTTGATAAAGTGTCATGTGTTGAATTCTCATACCATACCACATTATTACTAATAGACATACTGAGGACAAATAATTAATTCTTAAATTCCTGTTTTCTTAGTGTATTTATTAGTGTGGGTGCTCAATAGCTTGTTGGTCACCTCAACTGTCTTCTTTATTATGAGAAACACATAATATAGAACCATATTTTCTTTGGTTTTTCTTCTCTCTCCCTCTACTCCCCCTCTCTCTTCTGCTCCCCACCCCTTTCCTTCCCTTACTTTGCCTTGGGAATAGATGAATGCTGGCAAACACCAACATACCACAATCCTCAACCTTCTATTTTGTTTATTTCTGCCTGGAAGATAGCATTTCACTGCCATTCTCTTTATACTCCAGATCTTACATTCTCTCTGCCCCCTTTTCCATAACATTTGCAGAGTCTTAGAGGGGATAATATAAATGCCATATTCAGAACTGACCAATAAACGGTTACTTTTTCTTAACACCGTGAGTGCAGTGTCTCTGTATTGATCATTATCCACACAGAGAACCTTCTCTTGGTAAGTTTGGGAGTACTATTTGCCTATGGATATAAACATAAATGTTTCATAGCCTAGTTCTAAGAGATGAAGGGTTGGATCTGTTTATTTTCTTTCTTTTTCTTTTTATAATTTTATTGAGTTTTTTATTACTTTATTTTTTGGAAAAAAAGCTTGCTTCACATGTCAATCCCAGCTCCCTCTCTCTCCCCTCCTCCTGTACCCCCCCACCAACCCAGCCAGCCTTCCACCCTATTCCCACTCCGTTCTCCACGGGGGATATCTAGAGTCTATCATTTCCTTGAGGGCAGGGCCTGGGCCCTGCCCCAAGAGTCCAGGCTAAGAGAGCATCCCTCTTTATGGCATGGACACGCAAAGTCCATTTGTATGCTAGGGATAAATACTGATTTACTGCCCAGGGCCCCATAGGTTGTCCAGGCCTCTTCACTGACACCCACATTCAAAGGGTCTGGATCAGTCCCATGCTGGCCTCCCAGCTGTTGGTCTGGGGTCCAAGAGCTCCTCCTTGTTTAGGTCAGCTGTTTCTGTTGGTTTCGCCAGCCCATTCTTTACAACCTTTGCCCATCATTCCTCCCGTTCTGGTGCTGGGTTCCAGGGGTTCAGTTCACTGTTTAGCTCTACGTGTTTGCCTCTGCTTCCATCAGTCACTGGATGAAGGTTCTAGGATGGCATATAAGGTAGTCATCAAAATCATTACCAGGGATTGGCATTTAAGGTAGTCTCTCAACTATTGCTTAGTTTGCCAGTTGGTGTCATCCTTGGAGATTGCTAGGGATCTCCTGGTTCCAGATCTCTCCTCAAACCTATAATGACTCCCTCTATTATGGTATTCTCATCCTGTTCTCTTCTATTCTTCCTCCAACTTAACCTTCTTGCTCCATCATGACCCTCTCTCTTCCTCTTCTCCCCCTTTCTTTATCCCAGCTCCCACTCCCCCCCACTCCCAATCCGCTCAGGACATCTTGCCTGATTCCCCATCTCTGGGGTATCACACATATCTCTCTTAGGTTCTTTGCTGTTTCTAAGACTCTCTGGCAGTGGGACTGTAGACTGGCACGACCCTGATCCACGTCTAAAATCCATATATGAGTGAGTACATACCACATTTGTCTTTTTGTGATTGGATTACCTCACTCAGGATGGTTTCTTCTAGTGCTGTTCATTTCCCTGCAAATTTCAAGATTCCATTAATTTTTTTCTGCTGAATAGTACTCCATTGTGTATATGTACCACATTTTTTTCTATCCACTCTTCAGTTGAGGGGCATCTAGGTTGCTTCCAGGTTCTGGATTACAAATAATGCTGCTATGAATATAGTGGAACAGATGTCCTTGATGTATGAATGTGCATCTTTTGGATATATGCCTAAGAGTGGAATTGCTGGGTCTTGTGGTACTATTTTCCTGAGGAATCTCCATATTGATTTCCAAAGTGGGTGTACGAGTTGGCACTCCCACCAGCTGTGGAGGAGTGTTCCCTCTCTCCACTTCCTCTCCAGCATAAATTGTTGTTGGTGTTTTGATTTTAGCTATGCTGACAGGAGTGAGACTGTATCTCAGAGTTGTCTTGATTTGCATTTCCCTTGATGGCTAAGGATGTTGAACACTTTCTTAAGTGTCTCTCAGCCATTTTAGACTCCTCTAATGAGAATTTTTTATTTAGTTCTGTAGCCCACTTTTTAATTGGATCCTTTGGTGTTTTGGAGACTTGCTTCTTGAGTGCTTTGTAAATTTTGGAGATCAGCCCATCATCATCCCTGACTTCAAGCTCTATTATATACAGAGCTATAGTCCTGAAAACAGCTTGGTATTGGCACAAATATACCAGACAGGTATACCAGAATCACATTGAAAACCCTGATTTTAACACACACACTTATGAACACTCGATTTTTGACAAAGCAGCTAAAATTATACAATGGAAAAAAGAAAGCACCTTCAACAAATGGTGCTGGCATAACTGGATGCTGGCATGTAGAAGACTGCAGATAGATCCATGTCTATCGTTGTGCACAAAACTTAAGTCCAAATGGATCAAAGACCTCAACATAAATCCAGCCACACTGAACCTCTTAGAAGAGAAAGTGGGAGGTACCCTTGAACAAATTGGTGGTATAGGAGACTACTTCCTGAACATAACACCAGTAGTACAGACTCTGAGATTGACAATTAACAAATGGGACCTCCTGAAACTAAGAAGCTTCTGTAAGGCAAAGGACACAATCAAGAAGACAAAAAGACAACCCACAGAATGGGAAAAGATATTCACTAACCCCATATCTGACAGAGGATCTGTTTCTTATTTATGTGTTTTTACATGATCAAGATCGAAAAACTAGGGTCTTCAGTCTCTTCTTTTTTAAAAATTAAAAATTACACTTATTTAGTGTGCACAGGTGATCAGAGGACAACTTGTGGGTGTTGGTTTCCCCTTTCCACCATGTGGATCCTGGGGACCAAAATCAGGTCTTCAGGCTTGGAAGCAGTTGCCTTCCTTTGGGCCCTTGTCGTCTTCCTAATTTGTTTTGTTGTTTTTATATGAAGTCCCACATTCACTCTCTCC